ATGCTGTAGGCATACCAATCTGGAAGGCTTTTAGGGACCAATAACCCAAGTGAACCAAATTGGGAGTTACTGAAATTAGATTGAGAGTTTGGGTTTTCAGAGGTATAAGTGAAAGTCTGTAAAGTAGGTACTGTAGTTTGGGTGAATTCTACAAGAGTAGTAGTAGGTAACTGTAATAGTCTCAGCTCACAAGTACTTGTTTTTAGACTGGGTGTAAGTTGCTGAAAAGCCTAGTCTAGAAATATGTGGAATATAGAAAGATTAGGGGTATATACTATACTCTTCTAGAAAACCTGGTAGTATAAGAACCTTACTAGGTTATCTATAGAATTAGAGTGCAAGTAGTGTAATATATGTTAATCTGGGTGGTTTTCAATAAAGCAATACAAGGTTATGGGCCAGCATAATTGTAGTGATGGTATTAGATGAGTAACCAAAAATGTACTACTAAATACCTAATAAAAATTCATCTGTTCGTAACATTGCGAAGATAAAAAAAAAATAAAAAATAAAAAATAAAAAAAATTATATATTATTATTACAGTATATGTGTAATATGATCACTCAGCTGACTATGTGTCTATAGTAAAAATTATACAGTATAATAAATAGCATATCTCTAATATATAGATTAAAAGAATTGTTATAAAAACAAAAATTAAATTTAATATTAGGGTTAGGATTAAGGCCTGGGATAAGACAAAGGCATAATTTATATCAAAATTTTACAAAGAATTTTTTTTGTTTGAGTTTTAAAAAGTAAATAAAAACTTAAATGTTAAGTGTGTTGAACACCAGTAATATAATTTAACAATATCAAATTTATTTGTTATAATTTATTATTAATTTAAAACTATATATTTTTATTTTATTTTTTTATAAAATTTAGTAATTTACTGCTATGGCAATAGTAAGTAGCTTAGTGGTGGTGAATAAGAGCACAATCACGTGATATTTGCCCAATAATATTTCAAGATCAGGTGTAATATAGCACAAACAGGAAAATTTAAAACAAACGTTCGTTTTCCAAAAACCGCTAATAACTCAAAATTTTGCTTATGAAACCGTCTTTGGTGTCTTAATAAAAAAAATTTCTTACAAAATTTTACATATTATATAGTCTTTAAGCACCTTAGTGCTAAACAATACATACCCTAAAGAAAGATTTCATAATTTTAATACTTTGTTGTTTTGATCTTACGTTACACCTAATCTTGTAATGTGATTGGTCAAAAATCATGTGATTGCACTCTCCCATTCACCACCACTAAGTTACTAGGCAATAGTTATTACCCTTAAGATCATGTATAATGTAAAATCAAAATAATAGATAATAATGTATTAGATTAAGATTAGAGTCAGCATTAGATTAGAGTTATATATACCACCAAAATAGGTTTTCAAAAAACTCCTATTTCATCTCCATTAAAGCAATTTAGAATTTTTTATATACAATAGCAAAACTAATTTAGGTAGTTATGTTCTTTATAATTTCATCTCTTTAAAAAAAGTATTAAAAAATTTCATCTTTTAAGTAAAATAGGTCAAAAACAATTTCATCTTCAAATTTTAATTTTATATTCTGAAACCTAAAATAATTTCATTGACATGTATAATTAGGGTTAATGGTAGTTTTAATTAGAATATAAAAGACAGTTTTATAGGCAAAACTTTGAATTATGGACAATTTTTAACAAATAAATATTTGTTTTGAATTTCTCTGATTGTATTACATTACACCTGATCTTACATTCTAATTGGTTGATTAGTAGGTAGTGATATATCACCATGATGATATATTACAAAATTTTTTTTTATAATAATTTTAGACAAATAATATTTCCACATCTCTTTTTTAATATTTTTACATCTATGCAAATCATTTTTTTTAAAAATTAATTAAAAGTATCTTGATGATTACCTGACAAAGTTTAATAAAGTTTTTTATTAAACTTCTGCAAATCTGTAGAATTCAAATAAAAAAATTCATTGAAGTTGGCCAGGTAGTTATTGAGATATCTTCAATCAAAGTTAGAGAAAATTTTGCTACAGCTATTATTTTGATAGACATTTAGATTTTTTTAAGCCTTTAATCAAAGATATTTTAATAATCACCTGACCAAATTCAATGATTTTGAATTCTACAGACTCATAAAATTCCAATAAAAAAAATTTTATTGAAGTTTGTCAGATACTTGTTGAGATACTTTTTTTTTTTTTTTGTTTTTTTTTTTTTTACTTAAGGTGAGGTCATGCCTCTGTTTTTATTAATTCTTTAAGTTATTATACATTTCACATACAATTTTACTTATTAAACTAATTTCTAACTTAAGACTCAGACTACTTTATCTATGACCGTAACCTACTAAAGTATTCTGTATCCCACTTATGTCTTTACCTGGATTTTGTGCTTCACAACTAACTAATTCTAGTTACCCAACTGTATTTCCCCATAACTCGCAATCAAATTTCAGTAACTCCCAATTTGGTTCACTTGGGTTATTGGTCCCTAAAAGCCTTCCAGATTGGTATGCCTACAGCATGAATAAAACCCACATCTACAACCACTCCACATTCACCTTTTAGCAGTTCTTGTCCATCTCCGCAGGTCTTAATATTCCTTTTTTGGTATTTCATGTGCTGTATAACTTATCTGTCTCTTAAGTACTCTCTGTTATGATATTCGTTAAGAACTTGTTTTGAAACATATCTCTTTCAGCTATAGACCTTTGTTGTACATATTGTATAACTTCCAGCTTAGGGTATCTCAACCCTGGTTGGTGTGGTATTCATACTGGTAATTCTTAACTCTTTTCATTATAGACTTCCATATAGGTGTGATCAGAGCCCGATTTGGTTCTTTTAGTTGTACAGAGACAGGTTACACCCTCTACACCAAGTAACTTTTCTAAATTAGTTGTTCTGCAAGGCCAGAGATGCTTTCAATTCCAGTTAAGGTATGATCCTTTACTACAGCACATAGTCATGTATCACCGCTTTTTTCACTACTCCAGTTTTAGCTACTATCATATCACCCTCCCAAGCAAGTACTTCACAAGTTGGATGTTGATACAGCCTTCAGGTCACCCCAACCAAAGGACTAATTTGCGTGATTTTCATATAACCTAACCTTTTGTGGTACTTCACCACACATAGTGTCTATACTCCATGACCTGGTCTCCTTCTGAGAACTTCTTATTCTGGTTTCATACTGCACTTGGACTTTCCACAGGGCTTTGCATTCGATTTAATGATCGCCATAGGTTACAGAAACAAATTTTATTAAAATTTGCCTCCAGCCTGACTTGAACTGTTGACCTAGTCTGTAGGGTTTGGGAGCTTAACTGCTAAACTATGGGACCCAAACCCTTACGTGTTAAGATGCTTTCAATCAAAGTTTTTTAAAAAATCAAACATTTATTAAAATAAGAACACTATGCCAAAATTTTCTCTAACTTTGATTGAAGGTATCTCAGTAACTACTTAACTAATTTCAATGAATTTTTTTTTTATTTGAATTCTATAAACTTGTAAAATTCTATAAAAAAAGTTTAATTGAATTTGGTTCAATCAAAGTTTAAAAAAATCTAAATGTCTATCAAAAAAATAATAACTGTGCCAAAATTTTTTCTAACTTTGAAGGTATCTTGATAACTACCTGACCAATTTCAATAAAATTTTTTTATTTCAATTCTACAGACTTGTAGAATTCTAATAAAAAAAAATTATCAAATTTGGTAAGGTGGTCATCAAGATACCTTCGGTTAAAGTTTTAAGAAAAGTGATCTACATGGGGTGTGGAAATATTAGTCATCTAATTTTAATAAAATATCTTTATATCAGTAGTGTGACTATATATTGAACCTAGCTGCCGCACCAATTTTGTCACGGATGATTCTTGATTTTGATTGGCTATGAGCGACGATCTCTTGATTTTGATTGGCTAAGAGCGATGATCAATAATTTAGGCCAAAGTTACTCAAAATTTTACTAATGAAACCACAGCCGCACATTAAGTGAAAAATATTCCTGGGCTAATTTTACCATTGTGCGGGCCTATTTCTCTAAAAAGTTCAATTTTGGGAATGAAAAAGTTAAAAGTTAATTCCGGCCAAAAATTATGTAAACAATTATGTAATGCGGGCCAAAATTTTGTAGATCACGGCCGTTAGCCAATCAAAATCGGTTCGGCAGCTATGTCCAATGTGACTATATCGAGGGGTGACAGTATTTTGATTGGTTAATTATCACGGTACAGATCCAAAAAAAAAATGACATTTTTTTAATACAGAAATATTTTGGCATACTGAATTATTTGCGATTTTGACTGTCAAAAATTCTTTTCGCCATTTAAACTTATGCCAAGAGCAAAATATTTTCGACACCCATGTATAACCAACAGCAACAGCAACTACAACAACAACAACAGCATGCTTCAACTGCTACTTCAAGCGGTGAGGTCAGATCTGCCTCAACGGCAGCTTTGACATCACAAACCCCCTTATCACAAGAACAACTTTCCGCTTTGAAATATCAGATATTGGCCTTTAAGCTCATATCTCATAATTTAGAAGTTCCTGCGCCCTTACAACAAGCAATGTTCTCCCCTGGACAATCCCAGGGTTTGTCTGCTCAAGAAATAACAGGAACTCCCTTAACTGGAAAACTTGTTGAAGCGTCATATAATCATCATTCACGGACATCACCCAACCCAACAGCCGAGGCAGTATCTTCTGCCCAAGCATCAGCCTCGACACCCCTTTATAATGCCTACACAAATCCTTTAACTTATCTAAAACCGGTCAACACCTATTCTCATGCATCCCGCCAACAAAGAATGTTAATACCAGCAATAATGCCAATTGGGCTAGATCCAAATGAGATTGCTGCAGAGCGAGAGCGTCAAATAAAAGCCCGTGTTCAGCAAAGAATCTGCGCACTCGAATATGCACTTGAAGCGGGGTTGTACCAAAGTCAAGCCGAAAAAATAAAATTGTTAATTGAATTGAAAGGAAAAAAAGTATTTGGAAAGCAAAAAAAGGCAAGTTACCATGAATCTCAAATTAATTATCTTAATTTGGGAGGTATATTTATACATCGTTCGGTTAATTACAGTTGCGTCAAGAAATTATTAAAGGCATGTCAAAATCTACAACACTGGCTACAACAACAAATCGCGCTGGCTATAGAAGGATGAAAAAACAGTCGATGCGTGATGCTAGGATGACAGATAGACTTGAAAAGCAGCAACGTGAAGATAGACAACGAGTCAAAAAACAAAAACATTTAGATCGAATACAGAGTATTTGTAACCATGGGCGTGATTTGATTCAATGTCATCGTACAAGCCAAGCGAAACAACTTAAGTTTGGCCGCGCAGTTGTAAGTTATCATTCGCAAGTTGAGAAGGAAGAACAGAAGAGATTGGAAAGATTATCTAAAGAACGTTTAAGAGCTTTGAAAAATGATGACGAAGAGGCTTACTTGAAGCTTATTGATAAAGTTAAGGATACAAGAATTACGCATCTTTTAAAACAAACGGATCAATATCTAGACTCTTTGGCCCAGGCTGTTGTTGCTCAACAACGTGACGAATTACACAAAGACCCTACTGTAAGAGGTGGTATTGAATTGATGGATGATGAAGAAGATATAGGAGAAGATGAAAACATAACTATTGTGGTACGTTAAAATAAGTATATCTATTTGCACACTTAAATTTGCGTTCTAATTTGCTATTCTTAAATTAACGGTATAGAATGGGAAGAAGGTCGATTATTATGCTGTTGCCCATAGAATCAAGGAAGAAGTTGAACAACCATCTATAATGATAGGAGGAAGTTTGAAAGACTATCAGGTAAATTATATAAATGTTCAACGATGATAGACTATACTATGATTAATATTAATTAAACTTGATAAAAAGGTCAAAGGATTGCAATGGATGGTATCACTATATAATAACCGATTGAATGGTATCCTTGCTGATGAAATGGGTCTCGGTAAAACGATCCAAACCATTTCTTTAGTTACGTATTTGATAGAAAGAAAAAGGCAAAACGGCCCATTTTTGATTGTAGTTCCGTTGTCGTAAGTAGCGGATCGATTTATTTGTTTATTCATTGTTTGTAGGTTTTAACCGTATTATGAAAAATCTATTACAATAGTACATTAACAAATTGGACACTCGAGTTCGATAAATGGGCCCCAACTGTAAGGAAATGTGTCTACAAGGGTGCGCCTAATACTCGTAAAGAACTTCAACAACAGTTTATCAAACATGTAGATTTTCAAGTTCTCTTGACAACATATGAATATATTATAAAAGATAAATCTATATTAAGCAAATTACGATGGGTATATGTAATTATTGATGAAGGCCATCGTATGAAAAATACTAAGTCAAAGTTATCAGTTATTTTGACAAACAATTATCAATGCCGTTATCGTTTAATTTTGACGGGAACTCCTTTACAGGTATTATTATTTTTATCTTCATCACTCATATACTAAAATTCCTATTTTACTATTTAAATAATTTATAATTTATTGTTCAGAATAACTTGCCAGAATTATGGTCATTGTTGAATTTTATTTTACCGAGGATCTTTGACTCCGTAAAAAGTTTTGACGAATGGTTTAATACTCCATTCGCGAATGCCGCAGGACAAGACAAAATAGCATTAAACGAAGAAGAATCATTACTTATTATTCGACGTTTACACAAGGTCTGTGTTATATTATTCATATCGAGTTATATAAATCAAAATTTTGCTAAAATTATGTAAACAACTTATAGGTTCTAAGACCATTCTTATTGCGTAGATTAAAGAAAGATGTTGAGTCAGAATTACCTGATAAAGTAGAGACCGTGATTAAGTGCAGGCTTTCAGCTTTGCAATTAAAGCTTTACAGTCAAATGAAAAAACATGGCGTACTGTTTGTTAATACCGGAGAGAAAGGGTATACTATACAAAATTGTTTAATTGATAAAGCAAACCTATTAGCAGAATCTATTGGAATATCTTATGAACTATTAATTAACTTTGTTATTAGGAAAACCGGGATAAAAGGTCTCAACAATACTATCATGCAATTGAGAAAAATTTGTAATCACCCATTTGTTTTTGAAGAAGTTGAAAAAGACATAAATCCTGGAAATACCAATAGTGCTTTGCTATACCGAGTATCTGGAAAGTTTGAGTTACTGGATCGTATACTGCCAAAATTTTTTGCTACAGGACACAGAGTAGGTATAATTTTGTTGTTTACGTAACTATGATTTACTACATAATTCGTTAAAGACTAACAATTTATTAATGCGACAATCACAATTATTTGATATGTTTGTATATAAGGTCTTGATTTTTTTCCAAATGACAGCTATAATGACCATAATGGAAGATTTTCTTAACTGGCGTGGGTTTAAATATTTAAGATTGGACGGTAACACAAAGGTACTTATTTTCAAAAACAGAGTGATTTTGTGATGATGGTGCTGATATATATGTTATAATCATTCCAGGCAGAGAGCAGATCAGATTTGCTGAAATCGTTTAACTCTTCGGATTCGCCTTATTTTGTATTTTTACTTAGTACTCGAGCTGGTGGACTTGGTCTTAATTTGCAGACAGCTGATACTGTTATTATATTTGACTCTGATTGGTGAATATAAAATTATGTTTATGCTATATATATTACATGGATCGAGGCCTAATTTGGTATATAATTTTAAATTTAGGAATCCACACCAGGATTTGCAAGCACAGGATCGTGCACATCGTATAGGTCAAACTAGAGAAGTTCGTATATTACGGCTAATCTCACAAAAATCTATTGAGGAGACCATTTTGGCTAGAGCTCAATATAAATTGGACATTGATGGTAAGGTTATTCAAGCCGGTAAATTTGATAATAAGAGTACAGAAAACGAACGTGAAGAACTTTTGGTATTTTTTTTTTTTTTTAAAAAATATATATTCATTGAATTATAATGCATCTTAAGCGTAGCTAACGTATGAATAATACATACTCAACATATAGCGTTTGATTTTTGAGGTAGATAATGACGAAATAAATGATGTAGAAGATGATGATGAGTTAGATGATGAGGAGCTGAACGAGCTCATAGCTCGTAATGAAGATGAACTTATCAAATTCAAACAAATTGATCAGGAGAGGACACAAAGAGAAGAGATGGAATGGAAAAAATCTGGAGGTAAAGGAAAACGGCCAGATAGATTAATAGAGGAGAGTGAATTGCCACCTGTATATATAAAAGAGTACGACGCAATAGTACGACAAGAAGAACCAGGAGTAGAATATGGCCGAGGTCAAAGACCGAGAGGATCCGTTCATTATGACGATGGATTAACAGAGGAGCAATGGGTTAATGTAAGAAAATAATTAATGAGAATATACACATTTATAAACACTCAAAAATTATTAAAATTTTCAAATATATATATATGCTCTGCAGGCTATTGAAGATGAAGATATTGATGTCGAAGATCTAATTGCTAAAAAACAAGCTGCTAAAAAACGGCGTTTGGTTAAAAAATCACAAAAACTTCACAGTTCCACACATCTGGATATATCACATAATTCAACACCACATCCAGATGAATCAAGCGCGGATGCAGCCGAATATAAAAAGAAACGTGGGCGACCGCGGAAAGATGAAATGCCCAGTGTTGATGATAACAATGCACACGACATACAGTCTAAGCAATCAAAAAAGAAAGGAAAAGGAAAACGAGTTGAAACTAGCGATTTTGAAACATTTGATCAACCAAAAAATGTAATTTATTTTGTTCATTTTGTGAATAGCATAGGTAATCAAGTTTGAATAACTTTTATAAATTTTCAGAAAAAACGGAAGCAACAGCCTAAAAAAACTCATGAGCAAACATCATCTGATACTGTATCGCCTCATACTCGGGATCGGATGAGACGTATTTTTAACAGATGTTATTCTGCAGTTGAGAACTTAATGGATGATACTGAAGGGTTTGATAGTCATTTCATATTATTTTATTTATATTTGAATGTCTATGATGGATTCAATAATCACTTATTGGTTTCATTCGATAGAGAGCCTCGACAGCGAGCATACCTCTTCCTTACACTTCCTAGTAAAAAGGAATACGACTATTATTACACGGTCATTAATAATCCAATTGCAATGGATACAATAAAGCGTAGGATCAAGCTTAATCATTACCAATCAGCGGCCCAATTTCGGGATGATTGGCATTTAATGTTTAATAATGCAAGAACATTTAACGAAGAGGCATCAACAGTGTATAATGATGCGGAAAAATTACAGGTAAATTAATGATATACTTTTCATGCTTTTTGTTCCTACGATTAATATTCCATAATTTTTAGGAAGTTTTCGATGAAACGTTTGAAGAACTTTGTCCTGGAGGTCAAATTCCTCCGTCGGGAGATGAAATGGATATTTAGTATTATAGAATAAAATTTTTCATAAAAGACGTTTTGGTTATTTCGTGTGAAATATAAACTTTGAATACGTATTATAGTAATTTTCTAATTCCAAAAAGTTTCATATAAGACTTATTACATATTACGGTAATAAACAGATTATATGACTGTAAGCAATATATGTGCAATAAGAAATGTAAATTATTTAAATTGGTATGATTTATAAATTCACTTCTTAAGCATTGATTAAAATCTTTAAAATAATGGTTACTATACATAGCCTTTTATTATTTTCTTTTTTTTTTAAAGACCGATTTAACAAAAAAAAACTATATATCGTGTGAAGATGTCAATCACGTGGTTACAAGACACGCTGATTGGCTATTACTGCTGTAACCCCTCGTACGTACGTATATGGGGTCGAGAATAGCACAGGCAGTACCGGGTAGTGATTTAAGCCGCATGGATTTGGTCGACTGACTAAGCCAGCCGACTAAAACATCTGGCTGCCGGCTTATTATACGGAATCTTTCGGAACTATTCCAAAAATTTAACCTCGACCTTTCTCGTATTTTGTGTTCATTCATTTTCTCTCTTCTCTCGGAATTTATAGGATCCAGCTTTTAGTCTTTAACTCTTAGCAGGCTTAGTTTTTCATTTTTCCTTTTGATTCGTGTATATTAAAATTTTGATTTGTCAGAATTTGTCTGTGACAATATTACGTTTACAATTTTAAAGTTATCGAAATCTAAAAGTAAACTTCCGTTGGTATTAATTTCACCATGATTATAATTATTTTATATATACAGTATAAGCTTATGCTTTATTCGTAACGATTAAAATTTAAAATGTTATTATATCACGAGATATAATCTACAAAAATTTAATGAAAACCCGCTGTGCTACCTTAACCGCATTAGCTAGCCGACCATATTATACCGGCTGGCTTAGCCGTTGTTGCTATCGTCATGTGAAAATCTTTCTGCGCCTCTGCCGTACGTCGATCATCCGTTGTGAACCGTTAATCGTACTACTTAATTTTTCTTTTCCTTTTTTTTCTTATTTTAGTAATACTTTACGTATTAGATTATCCATTTCCTATTTTGTATACATAGCGTATCTTTATTACTATATTTAGTCTTCCATACATAGTTTATAGATAGGAAGTCGTCTGACATTAAAGTCGCTAGCAGATTTGAATTTTTTTTTCTTGGGATTGTTTTCATCGTTGGGTTATTGGTTTTAGTAAAATTCTATGGTGTTTATGAATCACCAAACTTGGAATGGGAAAATAGTCACTCGATATCTTCAATGATCTTTAATAATAAAATGGCATTTACTTATTATCAAAATGCTGGAATACTACTTTGTTATATATTAACAATAATCAAAAAATATCAAACTATTCATTTAGTTTCCAATCATCTACTTTCAAATCTTTAAAATTAAAATATTACTTGATAAGCTATCTACTCTACATGTTCTTTATAAATGTTATCTATCTTATCTACTAATTTGTTATAAATATAATCAAACTAGTATAACATTATATTGGTTTTTATATTCAAACTCTCAGCATTTAAAATATCTTATTTATAAATCATTTTAACATATCTTTAAACCATCAACTCTTAATATATCAATTGAATCTATAGCAAATTTATATGTTCAAATCAAAAATCTTGACAGTATACGAATATATAATAATTCCAATATACCATCCTTGTTGTTAATAATAACAGATCTTATTCCACAAGATCTCATTGATTTAATTAAAGAAACTACTTCATCAAATAAATTTCAATATAACTTGGCATTAAATTTCTTTTATATCTAAATCAACAAATTTATAAAGATTATTAGATACTATACTGTACTTCTAGATCAAAAGCTAGTCTACTAGGACCCGAAATATACATAGATAGGTCAGGTATGAGTTTGCTTATTTTTGAGGTTTTTTATGCAGATCTTTTCAATTTATAGTAATTTTTTTGCTTATTTTTGAAGTTTTTTTTTTGCAAATCTTTCTTTTTTTAGTAACTCTATAATTAATCTGCCTATCTATATGTATTTCAGAGTTCTAGTCTACTTACTCAAACCTCAGTTATAACTTTGGCACTATATAGTTCACTAAATCAACTGGCATCTTTCACTATTATAAGTACCAAACTTGAGCTATGATACTCAAAGTGAATTAAATACTAATACAACCTATATAATTTAATTACTACAAAAATTTAAATAAGTTATGATCACACTAGTAGGTTTAGGTCATAGAAAACTTCAATGTCTAAGTTCTAGTCTTTGTATCCTTTAGATATAAAGTTCAAATAATGTAATTTCTTTCTTATAATTTGTAAAAAAGTTTAATTAAATTTTAATAAAAATAGAGGTATAGTCTTATCTTTAAAGATTAAAAAAAGATATAGCAATTAGTGGATAATTATAGATAAAATAGATATAGTGAAATTCATTATTAGATAATAATTAAAGTTGTATATATGATTAATTATTTTTTATTGATATAACAAAGTTAGAGGTAGTCTATATAATAGCTTTAATATTTAAATTATAAGTTAATAAATATATCAAACTTCAAAGTAGTCATCTTAATATTTAAAAAAATTTAAATTAAAAATACTTTTGAAAGTTTTATCAATAAATTTATTAGAGTAATAGTAATTTATTGTTTATATAATATGCTAATTATAAAAAAATTATATAAAAAAAACAAATTTAATAAAAAAAATTAATTTAATTTTGATGAATTTGCTAATATAAACTAATAGTTTTATGAAAAAATTATTAATAAAATTTATCTAAATATAATTTTATAGAATAATTACTATACAAAAATACAAAAATATACTTCTGAAACAGCTGTCTGGTAGTTTAAAATATATCATCTCATATACTTTAATTCTGTCTAGTTTACTATAGTAAATTAATATATTGCTTATTTTTAATATAGTTAAATAAACCAAGCTATTACTCTCAGAAAACCTCATGATGTTATACAAGCATGAAAAAATTCTGTGCCAGGTTTTGTCGATCACTGTGATGCAGTCAAAATTTTTAAAGCTCAAAAATATTAAGGTTAGCGTTTAGAATAAGGTTAGAGATTAAGAGATTATATAGTAAAATTGCTCAAGGAAAACTTTTTGTTAAAGCACTAAAGGTGGTTTTTTATGCAGATTTTGAGAAATATGCGTTTGTTAGCAAAACGAACGTTTGTTTTGAAATTTCTTGATTGTGTTACATTACACCTGATTCATGAAATCTGATTTGTAGTTTAGAGATCTGCGCCACAATGATCGACAAAACCTGGCACAGAATTTTTTCATGCGTTATACAATATCTTGGAGTTTTTATGATGGTAATGACTCATCCAAACCTACACTTGATACAATCTTTAAAAAAATTGAAAATTTTCTCAATCTTATAAAATACAAAAAAGTAACACCCTCTCAAATATCAGCACTATTTAACCTAATTTTACAACCCTCACTTGAATATTTACTACAAATAACCCCAATTTACAAAAATATACAAATCAAACTATCTCAATTATTCTCTATTCAATCCAAAAAAATGCTATCTTTAGCAAAAAATACTAATAATATTACCCTTACCAATCCACTCTCTTTTAATTTATCTACTTTAAATAATATTATTCAAAAACTAAGTGCCTCAAACATTAAATATACATTCAATTCTTCACCTATTCTTAAGAATATAGATACTCTTCATATTAAAGCTTGGCTTACCAAAGTCTGGTCTCCTAGGCTTACTACTAATCTATTAAATAATCACTATCATAAAACATATAACTTTATTTTAATTTTTCACCTTTCTACCTGAAAGCTTGTGATAATGACAGTCAAACCTAACGCACAGGGCAGGCTACAAGTTCTTTGGAAACCGTGAGAACCGGGTATACAGTGAGCGACTATGTAAAAGATACTAACCAGACAAGTTTGCCACCAACATTCTTAGAATCCTGCAACTTGTCAACATGTTACAACAAATTTCTACAATATCACAATCTACCAATAATCACAACAAAAACTACAATCGCATTATTTCTCCAACATCTACAACAAAACATATCAGCAAACTGTAAACCTAACCTTAGATTTTCTTTATACAACTCACACTATGAAACACATATATATCTACCCAATGAATCAAACATACTTCAAAGCATACTTCACTAACTATTAAAACAATTAAAGAGTTTTTACAAACCCCACTTAAATCATATACTACTACATATTCTGCTTCACTAAACCATTTGTTTAATGCACCAAATATCGAAAACAATTTGTTTCTAGACAATGAAATAGAGCCAACTTACTCACCTACTCAAAATACGATCCACCATCACTATAATAACCAAAATTCACCCACAGGGAACCTACAGGACCCCAACCTCTCTCTATATCTAAACATTGCTACTCGAAATGTACAAGGATATAATACACCAGAAAAACGACTTCTATGGGAAACCTATTGCCTAACCTACAACTTATATATAGCCAGTCTTACTGAAACAAAAATCTCTAACAACACAAATACAAAATTCCTTAATACAAACCACTACTTCTACTACTGGTCAAATTTACTAGACACCAAAGAAGGCACATGTATCATGATTCAAAAACAATTAAAACCCCATATTCACAACATTCTCAACCACCCAGGAGGTGCAATTGCAATAGACATATTTTTCAAAAACGATCACAAATTCCGAATTATCTCTGTCTATCTTTCTTAACTAATACAACACATCATAAATTAACACAAAACAAAGTCATAACATGGATACAACAAGCTATAGCACTAAACCTACACCCAATAATCCTTGGTGACTTTAATACAAATACTGACACAACTGTATCATCAGCTACTAAATTCCAACTACTCAACTACCTACATAGCACCAACATGTATGACTTAGCTGACCATACAAATAACCTACAACACACCTGGCAAAGTACCCAATATCAAACTAGAATTGA